GTATATTCTCTAATTCAATACATTACACACAACATATTTATTAAAAAATTATTATTTTTAATATAAAATTAAAAATAAACAAACTTAATGATATAATTATGCATATAATATACAAAAATCAACTGAACTAGTTATATTTATATTATATTTTAATGACTAAACTAGACAAATATTAAAAAATATATCAAATCAAAAAATATATTAATTATTTTTATTGATTATATCATGAGTTTCATATAAGCCAACATAATTATTAGATGAAATATTGGTCCCAAAAATTTGTCCTAAAATTTTATGTCAAAAATTATTACTCAATATAAACTACTACCTTTGGCCCATTTTACTTATCACACTTTTATTTTGTATGATTATTAAACAAATTACAAAGATCTATAAAATACACTTATTATTAGTTAAAATTTTATATTTACCCTTATTAATAAGAGTACTTGGGAAGTTTAAATGTGTTTTTTAAGAATAAAGTAATCATTAATAAGGACAAAATTGAAAAAGAAGATTTTTTTTTATAAAGAAAACTTTAATACTATGTTAAAAATTATAATTGACAAATAAATTAAACTATTCTTTTATAAAAAATAAAAATACAAGGAGAATGGACCCAAAGCAGAGTATAACATGAGCTTGCTGTTGAGAGAGATGAATTAAATATGACTTAGCGCATTTAATCATTTAATAAGATAAATTAATTGTTTTGCATTTATTTGACTGATTTTAAGAATATCACTCAAAAAGGTAATTTTAAAAATGAGAAATATTATAATAATTGAACTCTCCATCGACGGTAGTTGTATAGCCTTTTACTCAGACGTGAGACCTAGCAAGTTAAAATTCAATCACTCTATTTTTTAGTGAGCAGTGCTAGGGGCACTCGCCTCTTGCACTCTCCGGCCAACACTTCCCCTTTCATTGGGCCACGTAAGCTTATTTTAAGCTTTGAAGTACAACCTCTTCCTAACCAAAATAACGTGGCCCAATAAAGGTGGAGGTGTTGGCCGGAGAGTGCAGGAGGCGAGTGCCCCTAGCATGCCTCTTTTTTTAGTTATTCTTCGATTCAGAGAAATAATGAAGATGGATTGGAAAATTGAAAAAATTAAACAATTTAATGACATACCTGTTCATTGAAAAGTGGCATGTGCCTGCAACTTTTGTTGAGACTACTCAGTCTGGGTAGACGTTGCAATCTCAAAGACCGTAGCACTTCCCCGAACTTTAGTTCAGTTGCTTCAACAATTGAAAAAATTAAACAATTTAATGACATACCT